GGATCCCCCCCCCAAAATGAGGTGTTCCCCCAAAGCGGGACCCCCCCTTCACGGGGCACCTCCTAATTAAGATGTGGCCCCCCCCAATTAAGACACGCCCCCCTAATTAAGGCCTTGTTGTACCGCCCAGCCCCCACCAGGGGGCGCCACCCATGGGGGGGGCTCTTAAAGGGGCCACGCCCCATTTCTGCGAGGTCGTTTCCGGGGGGGAGTTTCGGGGTTACTTTGGGGGGGATTTTTTTGGGGGGAACCCCCCCCAAAATCTACTCGATGACGACGATGAGGTCCTCGCCCTCGAGGCTGAGCCCGGGGCGCACGTGGACCTTGGTGACTTTGCCCCCCACGGGCGCCGTCACCACGGTCTCCATCTTCATGGCGCTCAGGACGCACAGCGGGTCCCCCTTGGCCACCGTCGCCCCCTCCTTGACCCGGACCTCGACCACCTCCCCCGGCATCGGGGCCCCCACCTGGCCCTTGGCCCCCTTCTCGGCCTTGGGGTGCACGTGCATCTCCTGGGGGGGGGAAACGGGGGGGTCGGGGGTCACTGGGCACGCTCGGGGGTCGCCTGGGTGTCAGCAGAGTCACCCCAAAGTCACCCCAAAGTCACCCCAGAGTCACCCCAGAGTCACCCCAAAGTCACCCCAGAGTCACCCCAGAGTCACCCCAAAGTCACCCCAGAGTCACCCCAGAGTCACCCCAAAGTTATCCCAGAGTCACCCCAAAGTCACCCCAGAGTCACCTCAAAGTCACCCCAAAACTCCTCAGCTCGGGCAGAGCCTCCTGGAGTCACCCCGAAGTCACCCCTGTGTTCCTTCAAACAGCCTCAGAGCCCCCGAAAGGTGCTCGGAGCCCCCCAAAATCCACTCAGACCCCCCAAAATCCCCTCATATCCCACCAAGATCCCCCCAAAGTCTTCCTAGATGCCCCTGAACTGCTCCCCAAATCCGTCCAAAACCCACTCAAACCCTCCCAAATCCCCCTGAATTCCCCCAAAGTCCCCCCAAAATCCCTTCAAACTCCCCCCAAAAGCTCCCAAACACCCCCAAATCCCCGAGGAAGAGGCGGGTGCCCAGGCAGGCCACGGGCCCGAAGGTGCTGCTGAAGGTGCGGAACTCGTCGTAGACCTTGGGGTAGAGCGCGGCCGAGAGCAGGTCCTCGGGGCTGGGGGGGGCCCCGTGCCGCGCCCCCAGCTCCCGGCTCAGCGCCTCGAAGTCCAGGGGGGGCAGCGACGCCCCCGGGCGCCCCTCGACCCGCGGCAGCTCCTTCAGCACCTGCGGGCACCGGGGGTTGGCGTGGCAGCGGGGGGGGACGGGGACCGGGACAGGGACAGGGGACAGGGACAGGGACAGAGACAGGGACAGGGACAGAGACAGGGACAGGGACAGAGACAGGGACAGGGACAGAGACAGGGACAGGGACAGAGACAGGGACAGGGACAGAGACAGGGACAGGGACAGAGACAGGGACAGGGACAGAGACAGGGACAGGGACAGAGACAGGGACAGGGACAGAGACAGGGACAGGGACAGAGACAGGGACAGGGACAGAGACAGGGACAGGGACAGAGACAGGGACAGGGACAGAGACAGGGACAGGGACAGAGACAGGGACAGGGACAGAGACAGGGACAGGGACAGAGACAGGGACAGGGACAGAGACAGGGACAGGGACAGGGATAGGGACGGGGACGGGGACATGGGAATGGGGACAGGGACAGGGACAGGGATAGGGACAGGGACAGGGACAGGGACAGGGACATGGGACATGGGACATGGACATGGGAATGGGGCAGGGACATGGGACATGGGACAGGGACATGGCAATAGGGTGGGGGGACATGGCAAAGGGGGGTTGGCATGGCAACGGGTTGAGGGACACCATGGCAATGGGGTGGGTGCCATGGCAACCATCATTAAAAGCTGTTGCTAGGCTGGGGTGCCATGGCAACCATCACCAGGAACTGTTGCTAGGGTTGATTGCCATGGTAACCACCGCTAGAAGCCATTGCCAGGGCTCGGTACCACGGTAACCATTTCTAGGACCCGTTGCTAGGCTCGATTGCCATGGCAACCATCATTAGGAGCCAGTGTTAGGAGCGGGTACCACAGCAACCAGCGATGGAGATGGCAGCAGGGAACCACAGCATCCTGTTGCCATGGCAACAGCTTCCAGTACATCCTCCCAGTCCCTCCCAGTCCCTCCCAGTCCCTGCCAGTGCCCAGCAGGACCCACCCGGGAGCGGAAGGGCTCGGGGAAGCCCCCCGGGGGGACCCCGATGTGTCCCTGCAGGAACTCCACCACGCTCAGGGGGAAGGAGAGCTCGTCCGCCCGCGCCTCGGCCTCCTCCCGCGAGAGCCCGTTCTGCACCATGAACTGCGCCAGGTCCCCCACCACCTTCGAGGTGGGCGTCACCTGCGGGGCACCAGGGGTCACCTCGGGGCCACCAGGGGTCACCTCGGGGTCACCTCGCTGTCCACTCCTGGGTTAACTCATGGGGCAACTCGGGGTCACCTTGTGGTCAACTCAAGGAGCAGCTCTTGGGTCACCTCATGGGTCAGTGTGGGGGGAACCTCTTGGGTCAACTCTTGGGGTCACCTTGGGGTCATTTCATGGGTCAGCTCAGGGTCAGCTTGGGGTCACCTCATGGGTCAGTGTGGGGGAACCTCTTGGGTCAACTCTTGGGGTCACCTTGGGGTCATTTCATGGGTCAGCTCAGGGTCAGCTTGGGGGGACTCTCATGGGTCACCTCGGGGGTCACCACATGACTGCCCTTGGTGGAACGCCCACCCATGGAGACCACCAACCCCACAGAGATCCTCCCACCCCACGGAGACCATCTGTCCCATGGAGACCATTCTGTGGAGACCACCCACCCATGGAGACCACCCACCCCACAGAGATCCTCCACGCCATGGACACCCCCTGCCCCATGGAGACCCCCCACCCCACAGAAATTTTCCATGCCATGGAGACCATCTACACCATGGAGACCTTCTCTTGGAGACCCCCATGGACACCACCCAGTGGACATCCCCCACCCCACGGACACCATTTTGTGGAGACCCCCCACCCCACAGCCCCCCCGCAGCCCCCAGGGCCACCCCACCTTGATGAGGTCCCCGAGCAGCTTGTTGGCCTCGGTGTAGGCCTTCTTGACCTCCTTGAACTTGTGTCCCAGCCCCATGGCGTGGGCCTGGAAGTGCAGGTTGGTGTACTGCCCGCCCGGGATCTCGTTCTCGTAGACGTCGGCGTTGCCCGACTTCATGGTGGCCGTGCAGTCGAAGGCGGCGTAGAGGCCCCGCGCCGCCTCCCAGTACTCGCTGTACTCGAAGACGCGCTCCAGGTCGATGCCTGGGGACAAGGGGACACCGTGGGGACACCGTGGGGACACCGTGGGGACACGGCAGGGGTGTGGTGTGGGGCGTGTCACGGATTCGGAGTGAAGTCGTGGTTCTGGTGGCACCTCCAGGACTGTGGTGGCACCTCCGTGACCACTGTGGCTCCTCAAAGTCTTGGTGGCACCTCCAAACCCTTGGTGGCCGCTCAAATCCTTGGTGTCCCTCCAGCTCTTGATGTCCCCTACAGCCCCTGCTGTCCCTCCAACCCTTGGTGGCACCTCAAACCCTTGGTTGGCTTTCCAGACCTTGTCATCCGTCCAATCTTTGGTGGCACCTCAAACCCTTGGTGGCACCTCAAATCTTTGTTATTCCTCCAGCCATTGGTGGCACCCCAAATCCTCGCTGTCCCCTTCAACCTTTGGTGACACCTCCAAACCCTTGATGACACCTGAAACTCTTCCTGTCCCTCCAAACCCTTGGTGACACCTCAAACCCTTGGTGACATTTCCAACCCTTGCTGTCCCTCCAAACCCTCAGTGACACCTCCAAACCGTTAGTGGCATCTCTAACCCTTGTTGTCCCTCCAAACTCTTGGTGACATCTCAAACCCTCGTCGTCCCCTTCAACCCTAGGTGACACCTCCAAACCTTTGCTGTCCCTCCAAACCCTTGGTGACACCTCCAAACTCTTTGGGACATCTCAAACCTTTGCTGTCCCTCCAAATCCTTGGTGACACCTCCAAACCCTTGGTGACATCTCCAACCCTTGGTGGCACCACCGTGCCACCCTTTCCCTCCAAACCCTCGGTGGCACCCCAAACCCTTGGTGGCACCCCAAACCCTTGGTGACACCCCAAACCCTCGGTGGCATCCCAAACCCTTGGTGACATCTCCAACCCTTGGTGGCACCCCAAACCCTTGCTGACATCTCAAAGCCTTGGTGACACCCCAAACCCTTGGTGACATCTCCAACCCTTGCCATCCCTCCAAACCCTTGGTGGCACCCCAAACCCTTGGTGACACCTCAAACCCTTGGTGACACCCCAAACCCGCGGTGACACCTCAAACCCCTGACGACATCTCCAACCCTCGGTGACACCCCAAACCCTTGGTGACATCTCAAACTCTTGGTGACACCTCAAACCCTCGGTGACATCTCCAACCCTCACTGTCCCTCCAAACCCTCGGTGACACCCCAAACCCTTGGTGACACCTCAAACCCTTGGTGACACCCCAAACCCTTGGTGGCACCCCAAACCCTTGGTGACACCCCAAACCCGCGGTGACACCTCAAACCCCTGACGACATCTCCAACCCTCGGTGACACCCCAAACCCTTGGTGGCACCCCAAACCCTTGGTGACACCCCAAACCCTTGGTGACACCTCCAACGCTCGCTGTCCCTCCAAACCCTCGGTGGCACCCCAAACCCTCCGTGTCCCTCCACCCCTTGCTGTCACCTTTGCCGACCCCTCCACCCCTCGCTGTCCCCTGTCCCCACCTGTGTCCAGGGGCGTCCCCCGCGCGCAGGCCACCACGGCGCCCATGCTGGGCTGGGAGGTCATGCCGGACATGGCGTCCACGGCCACGTCCACCACGTCGGCGCCGGCCTGGGCGGCCGCCAGCATGGAGGCCACGCCGGCGCCGGCCGTGTCGTGGGTGTGCACGTGCAGGGGCACCTCGGGGTGCTGCTCCCGCAGGGCCCCCACCAGCAGCCGGGCGGCCGCGGGGGTCAGCAGCCCCGCCATGTCCTGGGGAGGGGACACGGGGGTCACCCCGGGGGTCACGGGGGTGTGGGGACCCTCCGTGTCCCACCCTGGGTTGCTCCATCCCATCCTTGTCCCCAGTAGTGGCCACTGGTGTTGGTGACCCCATGGTGTCCTGAGGGGTCACGGGGGTCACCCTGGGGGTCACGGGGACCCTCCGTGTCCCACCCCTCATCCAACCCAGCCTTGGACAACAGGGGAGCTCCAAATCCTCCCTAGGACCCCCAAATCCTCCCCAAATCCCCCTCACAATTCCTCCAAATTCTGCCCAAATCCCTCCAGGACCCCTCAAAACCCTACCAGGACCCCCAACCCTCCCCAGGACCCCCAAATCCAGAGGGGCGCGCGGCGCGGTCCTTAAAAGGCAATGGCCACGCCCCCTTACGGCCACGAGCCTGCCCTTATATGGCTATAATCACGCCCATTAACGTATTGGCAACGCCCTTTAAATCTGCATAGCCACGCCTCTTAATTGGCTAGAGACACGCCCCTTACGGGGCAAGGGTTCTTAAAGAGGCAACGCTTCTTAAAGGGGCAACGCCGCGGTGCCCTGTCCCTGGCCCCCCAAATCCCCCCCAGGACCCCCCAAATCCCCCCCAGACCTTGATGCAGAGCACGTGTGTCCCCGCTGCCACCAGCTCCCGGGCCAGCCCCAGGTAGTAGTCCAGGCTGTACTTGGTGCGCGTGGGGTCGGCCACGTCGCCGGTGTAGGAGAGCGCGGCCTCCACCACGGCGCCGGCGTTGCCCGCGGCCTCCACGCCCAGCAGCAGGTTGGGCACGTAGTTGAGGGCGTCGAAGACGCGGAAGATGTCCATGCCGTTGGCCACGGCCACCTCGCAGAACCTGGGGAGGCGGGCGTGGGTCACGGGGACGCGCCGGGGTGTCCCTGTGTCCCCGCGCCGGGGTGTCCCCGTGTCCCCGTGCAGGGGTGTCTCCGTGTCCCCGCGCCGGGGTGTCCCTGTGTCCCCGTGTTGGGGTGTCCCCGTGTCCCCGTGCCGGGGTGTCCCCGTGTCCCCGCGCCGGGGTGTCCCTGTGTCCCCGTGCTGGGGTGTCCCCATGTCCCCGTGCCGGGGTGTCCCCGTGTCCCCGCGCCGGGGTGTCCCTGTGTCCCCGTGCTGGGGTGTCCCCGTGTCCCCATGCCGGGGTGTCCCCGTGTCCCCGCGTCAGGGTGTCCCCGTGTCCCCGTGCTGGGGTGTCCCCATGCTGGGGTGTCCCCGTGTCCCCGTGCCGGGGTGTCCCCGCGTCGGGGTGTCCCCGCATCCCCATGCTGGGGTGTCCCTGTGTCCCCGTGTTGGGGTGTCCCAGTGTCCCCGCGCCGGGGTGTCCCCGTGTCCCCGTGCCGGGGTGTCCCCGTGTCCCCGTGCCGGGGTGTCCCCGTGTCCCTGTGCCGGGGTGTCCCTGTGCCGCGGTGTCCCCGTGTCCCCGCGGGGCGTTTGGCGGTGTGATGTGGGCTGGGGGCGCGTGGGGGCGTTCAGGGGCTCAGTGCTGCGCTGGTGTGTCACCAGCGTCACCTCTGTGTGTCCCCAGTGTCACCGTGTGTGCGGCTGGCCCCTGTTCTGTCACGTCGCCGTGCCTCCCAGTGTCCCTTGTCCCCCATCCCTACATGTCCCCAGTGTCCTCTGTCTCCCCATCTCTCCATGTCCCTCAGTGTCCCCATGTCACTCTCTGCCCCTCCATGTCCCCTGTCCCCCATGTTCCTAATGTCCCCATGTCTCCAGTGTCCTGTCTCCCCATCTCTCCATGTCCCCCAATGTCCCTCTCTGCCCCTCCATGTCCCCTGCCCCCCATGTCCCTCCATGTCCCCAGTGTCCTGTCTTCCCATCTCTCCATGTCCCTCAGTGTCCCCACGTCCCTCTCTGCTCCTCCATGTTCTCATGTCCCCATGTCCCCCATGGACCCCGTGTCCCCCATACCCCTCCATGTCCCAATGTCCCCATGTGCCCCCCGTATCCCCGAGTGTCCCCCTGTGTCCCCTCACTGGTGCATCACATTGTGTCCCCATGTCCCCTTCTTTGTCCCTGTGTGTCCCCATGTCCCCCCCATGTCCCCTCGTGTCCCCCTGTGTCCTCTCAGCGGTGCACTAAGTCGTGTCCCCATGTCCCCGAGTGTCCCCAAGTGTCCC